TTCTGTTGTTGTTGTTGTTGTTGCTCTTGTTGTTGTTGTTGTTGCTGCTGTTGTTGTTTTTGTTGTTGTTGTTTTTGTTATCATTATTATAATGATTGTAATATCGCTCTGCCTTGAACACAGTATAATCATTCCTGTAGAATGATACGAAAGTATGGTATAAACGTATTACCCAGTTTGGTGGTAGCATTTAAGATGCTGGTTTGTGTATTTATTTTGCTTTCCAGCCTCACAGATGAGCAGAGGCTGCCTTGCGACTGCATCTCAAGTTTAAGTTGACTTTTTCAGTTTCAGTTCAAACGTGCAAGACAAGATGGTACATTCTGAAATAGTTGAAACCAACAAATAAGAGTATTATGAGGAAATGAGAACCTATCCACCTCGCTTCCGCTGATGCTAACTAATATCAGGCAAACGAAACACCAATATTTTCTTCCTTTTTTTTCTTTCACAACTCGGAAGAGCAATATTTTAATGCGTATCTTTACTCACGAATCTCATTTTAATAAATTAGGCTACAAAACGCAGTTGTATCGAAAGATTTCATAAAGAAATCAAGGGAACTTGAAATTCTTAACATTATCCATCGATGAGAAGATCTTGGCAAATACCCCGTCTCCCCACAGAACAATTAAATGGGAAACGTTTTACTGATCTAATAGCTTCCTGTTGTCTCAAACAGGAAAAGACAATCTAAAATATTAAAAATCCTTGATACGCTGAACAGATATGATCACCATCATCGTCAAAGCTCTACTACTACCACAAAGTTTTGAGAAAGGCATGGTACCTATGTTTTGTTGGAGTAAAGAGAAGTACAACGGCACGAGAACGGTTATTTAGTGCCGGGAAAAGGCGGAAAAGGCAAAAAGGACAGACAGAAACAAAAAAGGAGGGAAAAAAGACAGGACCTACCAACACAAACAAGGAGGAGACAAAAAGAAGATTGAAAGAATGAAAGAAACAGCCAATCATGTAGACAAAGACGCCCCCCCCCCCCCCCCTCAAATCCCACCCCACGGTTAACCCAACCCAGAAGGTATCGTGAGTTGTTGTTTTTTTAACCCAGCTCCAATGCACAACAGACGAAGGTATAACTCCTGTGACTTTGACATATCACATTAACAGCCTCAACAGCCAAGTGCATAATATATGTAATATTACCATACATGATAATATACCTTGGCAGTCCGCCAAACCACGTCCAACTCTGTTCCCTTCTTTCTTTTCAGCACTGGGAAAGTGCTCTGCTATTGAACCACAAGTGTCAGTAGGACGTCCGTCTCTTAGAATGATCAGTGGCGGATTTAATCGTTTCTGTTCCTTTTGGGGTTTTTTCCTTGTTTTGGGGGAGTGTCGGGGTGGGGGGCTTTGGAAGACATTCATGTTTAGTTTGATCTGTCTAAAGATTAAAAGGTCGCGTCGGAGCAACTGCTTCTCACGCCACACGCATCTGTATCCCTCCCCCCCCCCCCCCAACCAAACTCTGACACGCATCGTTAAGCGCCAAGAGCAGGTCCTGGTCTACCCTCCATGTAATGCAGCATC